AGATCGTACAAATTCATATGAATTGGCAACCAATTCGCACAAATGTAAAATGTGTCTAAAAAACACCTCACTAATTTTGTACATTAAATTGGAAGATGGCACTCATCATAATATGCCATGTAAAAGAAAAAGTTTAAACCATTGAAGTTCCATCTGAGACAGAATACTCAAGTAAGTCTTAAGCGAGACAATCACATTTCCATACATTCTGTAAAGTAGTACTGTTCATCACAGGATCCATATTACCCTGGCGGGGACAAATCCACAGGATGAAAGTGCTGTTCCTAATGCAGTGTCTCTGGCACACAGTCTGATGTCCTAAAGCTGCTAAAGTGATTGAGGAGCACAGGGAGGCTGAATATGGCTGTGGTGTATTGAAACACTGATCCCTGCTGAACTTCCTGTCAGCGCACTCGTTGCTGGGTCGAGAGCAGAGGGAAGTGGGTGAGGGAAAAGCTCTATCAGGCTTCTATCTGCAGCGGGATTAATTAGCCGCTTAGACGGGTGGTCTTGAAAGTGTCGAGGAATCAGCATGCAGAGGGATTCTGGGACATGAAAGCTGCGAAAGCGAGATACTGGTTTGAGAATGTTTGTGCTTGTCAATTTAGATAGTTGTGGAATGTGGATGAAGTACTGATGGAAAATCATTCCCATGGAGTGCACAGACATGCTTTAAACAGTTCAAACTTGAGTATCTGGAAAGATAAAGAGCACAAACATTGAACGAGTAGAGTTCACTTATTTAGGGCCGGTTCCAAAGGTGAGATGCAGGGCAGTGGATTAGGAAAAAAACACACTTTTCTGAAAGTCAAGGACATTTTCAAGACAATGTCATTTCTACATCTCAAATGTATTGTACTGCGTTTTATAATGTATTAACAATAACATATGAACATTTTTGTTTTGCTAAAACTTAAACTAAACAAAAATGATAAATGTTGCCTTGACAATTAGTGGAAATAAAATACGTTTTTATATTTAATATTTGTTTGAAATTTTTTTAGCTTTATCGTTTTTTAGCTAACGATAATAACCCTGTTCACTGGTGATATTCATGATAGGTGATATCTATGTTTTTATTATTATTTATTGTTTGTTATTATATATATAATTTTGTAAAATGGGTTTTCATATTTTAAAATTGACAGTATAATTCTGGGATAACAGTAAAATAACAAAATATATATATATTTTTTTTTTAAAAGCATTTGAAAGATAGCAAAAATAGAATACGAAGACATGTTTAAAGTTTCAATGTGACCTTCATGTGACAAAAAGGGGGGGAAAAAAGTGACCAAACTTGAAGAAGCACCCAGTCATACATTAGCAGATTGTACTCTGTACTCTATGCTTTCTTGCTCAGCATTTGAGCACATGACGGCTTTCATCACAGTGACAAGTCAACAGCCAGTGCGGCTAAATGAAATGAGCAGTTAGATCTTATATTCATGCATATTTTTATATATAGTTCATTACATTTCAGTGTGCATGTTACCTCATTTTAACACAGTTCTTTGGGTAAGATGCTTATGTAAACCATGTAAAGGCATTCAGTGTCTATTTAAAGAAACTAGATTTTCACAAGAAAATATGAGTACACAGTAAAATCCCGAGTGTTAAATTAACACTGGTTGGAGCATATATGATCCCACTCTAAAAGAGTGTTAAAGTAACACTGAAGCAGTGTTGAAGTTAATGAGATAATTATGTGATTAATTAAGTGCTGATTGAGCATTAGTGATGAACAGCTGCTGTTAACAAGCAGAATCACTGAAGAAAAGAGAAACAAGAATTACAACTGACTTTAGCCACAGCCTTAGATTAAATGAACTGAAATAAAAGAAGACATTAAATGTCTGAAGATCTCAGCAGAAGGTGATTAATCATCTCCACAAACAGCATCATCAGCTTCACACATTACTAACCAGTTTGAATTTTTGTTTGTCATGCGTCTAAAAAATTCTTATTAAGAATTAACAGAGATTTAGATCTTAATGTTTATTGAAAATAATACAATTTGAAGTCACCGTTGTGGAGATAAGCGTTTGCTTTAGTTGGGCTCTTGACCCTTGACTTTTTATCATTATTTTTTCTCTGGTTGTTGTGATTGTGTTTATGAAACACATTTGTTATGGCAAGAAAAACCAAGAGCAAATGTGTTCAGATTATATATATAATTTTTATGAAAAATTTATCATTTGAAAGACCATTTTGTTGATAATGACATTATTGTCGTGAAGCAGCCAGGTTCACTGATGTCACCAGTGGTAGTGTGTAATATAGTTTGTTATTGATCATAACTGAATTTTCCTTGAAATAATAGGAAGAGCTTTAAAAAAACTTTGCACACCAGTTTAGAACATCTGAGCTGTTTAGACACACAGCCATCAAGAATCAGCATATGAATCTCAACAATGGTGATGATTAAAAATATCAGAATATTTTGTCACCATTGTTGAGATTCACATGCTGATTCTTCATGTCTATGAGTGCCAGAATTGAAACCTCTTTATGAACCATATTTATAAAAGTCGTTTATGAAGGTTTTTCTCACATTATCTCATATTACAGCAACAATATAGAAATCATAAAAGCACAAAAACGGTTTTAAATAAATTGCAATCAGAGACTCAGAAACATGACTTTACCATAAGTGCCTTGCTGTCACATATGTGCTTAATACACACAATTGTGCCAGCCAAAGAAAAATTTAAATTTAAAAAGTCAAGGGTCAAGAGGCAACTAAAGCTACCACTATTCACAAAAACGGTACGTTGAAAAAAAAAAAACATCTAAACATTAATTCTCAATAAAGAACTTCTGTTTTAGATAGTCTAACTGGTTAGTAATGCATGAAGCTGGTGATGCTGTTTGTAGAGTTGTTCAATCATCTTCTGCTGAGATCTTGAGAGATTTAATGTCTTCTTTTATTTCAGTTGATTTTATCTAAGTCTGTGGCTGAAGTCAGTTGTAATTCTTGTTTCTCTTTTCTTCAGTGATTCTGCTTGTTAACAGCAGGTGTTCATCACTAATGCTCAGTTAGCACTTAATTAATCACATAATTATCTCATAAACTTTAACTCCGCTTCAGTGTTACTTTAACACTCTTTTAGAGTGGGACCATATATGCTCCGAGCAGTGTTAATTTAACACTCGGGATTTTACTGTGTACTGTAGTGCTTGTCACCGTGATAGGGTGTCCTGGTTGATTCCAAGGGCATTTTGTGGTTACTAATATGTCCTAAATGGTTGTAAATGGGTTTCTATGTGATTGCTAGGGTATTCTAGATGTTGCTAGGGGGTTGCTAACTAGCCCTCTGTGATATCCTGGTCTCTAGATGTGGCTCAGACCCCTCTTTTAATGTAAGACAATGGGATTTCTTATAGAAAGTGTTCAGTTTAGTAACAAGTGTGTTGTCAGCTCAACTTGATGATTTAAGCTGTTTTTTTATTGCCAGCAGACTTTGAACTGAGTGCCTGTTTGATCAGCAATTGCAAAAAGAGGCTTACTTTGATAGTCCACTGCCCGTTACTAAGACTAACCAAATCGGCAAAGCAGCTTAACTGGTTTGGAGGTCATTAATGTAACACAGAACTATGCAGCAGAGATTTGAAATGGTGTATTATGGTAAAAAGGCCTTTTTGGGGTTGAGATTAATTATCCCCCCAAAAAAACCTCCGTAGGCTGAGTGTGAAAATGTAAATTACACCCTAGCTGACCACTACAATAAAAAACTCCATACATATTTTAGATTCTGTCCTGTATTACACTTTGTACCTCCTTTAGTCATCCAGTGTGGTGTATTGCTGTATGTTTTGGCTCCAGCAGTGACATATTGTTAAATGCAGTTTTAGTGACTTATCACAGCACATTTCGCTCTTCTCATCGGTGCTCAGTAACTGCTGTTGTAAAGATCTTGACAGCCTGACTGAAAACTCTGGGGAAAAACTCACCTTGTGTGCGTCAGAGAAGAAAGAGGTGTGATTATAGCCTAGTATTGCACAGTTTCTTGCTGATGAATTGTGTTGTGCTTTGCTTATCCCAAGGCGTGAAGATCAAGTGTTATTGTTAAGTTACAAGTAGGCATTTTAAAGGAATAATTCACACAAACTGTCATCATTTACTCCCCCTCGTGTTGTTTTAAACCAGTATGTTCTTCCCCGGAGCACAAAAGTGGATGTTTGATGAAGACCTTTGCTGTACAAATTTTGCGTATTAAGAAACAAGTTGTGTTTAATTGTCTTCTGAATGGTGTACACTTACACTTTTTGCAAAACTCCCAAAACTTAACTGTACATTAAATTCACTGTAGTTTTCAGTTGAATAGTAGCAGTAAACACAACCACTTTTATTCCTTTTCACACAAATTATGATTACAGGGACAGATTATTGATTAATAAAGACTTGTTTTCACACAGTTCCTTGCACAGTACTACAGTACGTTATGACCTCATAACACTAGTAAACCATAGTGCATGGTTAATGAACTAATACACTTTGACGTTTGCATCACATATGTGACTAGTATGACTTTCCAGATGTACTGTAGTAAACTTGCTCATCTGGTACAGCACTGCACTTGCGATGTAGAGCACTCGGGCATGAGTCCAGTGAGACACAAGTCATATAAGCAAGCTACTGTAAAATGACACAGTTGTGTTTATATCTAATGTTTGCTTTTGTTAACGCTTTTGGTTAGGTTTAGTGTAGATGGCACGTTATTTTCAAATGCAAAAGAATATTAACTTTTTTGCACCACTGGCACTGACTGAATATTTTATTTCCGAACTGCCACATTGCATATAACTACCAACATAATTAGACACTGCCAGATTTACGCTTATCTGTTTTTAAATAATCTTTTTAAATAATCTGAATGTAATATAATTTTCCAGAAATTTTGCCACAGACAACAGGCACAGACACACCATATCTGAAAATGTGCATATTCAAATAATTTTATTAAGATGTGAAGAGGGAAATATTTTCAATGGATAACTTAAAATTACTCAATCACAGAGTTGTCTGAGCAATTCAATCTGATTTGACAATACATTGCCCAGCCAGTTCAACAAAAAAAAAGGTTCTTGTTATTCACTGAAAATCTTGATGTCTGCAGCTATAATCTCTTTAGCCTGTTCATGAGAGAAGAAGGGATGTCCAATTTGTAAAGATTTTTTTCAGTTAATAAGTTTGAATTGTTCAGAATCAACTGTTGAATTGAACCAGATCAACTGATTTAACAATGATCTGTAAATTCAAAGCTCATGTGTTTATTTACAGTGAGGTCCATATATATTTGGACACAGGCACAATTTTTATGTTTTTGGCGGCTGACCAAAATATTCAAGTTACAGTTATATAATGAATATGGGCTTCATCAAAATTGGAGGAAAGGTTAAGGAATTACAGCTCTTTAATATGTACCTCTCCCCTTTTTCAAGGGACCATAAGTAATTGGACAGTTGACTCAAACGCTGTTTTATGCACAGGCGTGGGATATTCTTTCATTATTTCTACATCAATTAAGCAGGTAAAAGGTCTGGAGTTGATTCTAAGAGTGCCATTTGCATTTGGAAGCTGTTGCTGTGAACCCACATTGTGCAGTCAAAGGATCTCTCCATACAAGTGAAACAATTGTTAGGCTTCAAAAACAAAACAAATCCATCAGAGAGATAGCAGGAAAATTAGGAGTGGCCAAATCAACAGTTTGGTACATTCTTTGGATGGCTGAAATTAAGATCAACCTGTACCAGAATGATGGGAAGAAAAAAGTATGAAGAAGGCTTGGAATAGCTCATGATCCAAAGCATACAACATTATCTGTGAAACATGGTAGAGCAGTGTGATGGCATGAGCATGCATGGCTTCCAGTGGCACTGGTTACTGGTGTTTAGTGATGATGTGACAGAAGCAGCCGGATGAATTCTGAAGTGTATAGGGATATACTTTCTGCCCAGATTCAGTCAAATGCAGCAAAGTTGATTGGGCGGCGCTTCATAGTACAAATGGACGATGACCCAAAACATACATCAAAAGCAACCCAGGAGTTTTTGAGGGTAAAAAAGTGGAATATTCTGCAATGGCCAAGACAATCTTCTGATTTCAACCCGATTGAGCATGCATTTCACTTGCTGAAGACAAAACTAAAGGCAGAAAGACCTATAAACAAACAACAGAAGTCAGCTGCAGTAAAGGCCTGGCAAAGCATCACAAAGGAGGAAACCCAGTCTCTGGTAATGTCCATGAGTTCCAGACTTAAGGCAGTCATTACCTGCAAAGGATTCTCAACAAAATATAAAAAAATAAAAAATAAAAAAAAACATTTTATGATTATATTAATTTGTCCAATCACATTTCAGCCCCTGAAAATGGGGGGACTGTGTATAAAAATGGTTGTAATTCCTAAGCATTTTATGTTATATTATTGTTCAACCCCTTGGATTAAAGCTTAAATTCTGCACTTCAATTTCATCTTGATTGTTTTATTTTTAATTCTGTTCTGGTGGCATACAGAGCCGAAATTATGAAAATTGTGTCACTGTCCAAATATATATGGACCTGACTGTATGTCTTCACACTATGTAGTCGATTCGCCGAGCTACAACTTGACTGCTCACACTATACAATGGGCCTCATTTACGAAACAAACGTACAACAGAAAATTGGGCGTACGGTCATTTCAACGCAAAACTTGGAATTTATCAATATGGACGTGAACGGTGGCTACGATCAAATCTCACGTCTGGTCTCAGCTCGTGTACGCAAGTTTTTGAGTTACCTGAACTTGCGCGCAGCATAGTAAATACGGTGGAGAATTGTAGAATGACAGCATTTTGTTCATTTTTATTTTCCTGATCGTCAAACAAAGCTCATTAGTCGATCGTTAACCAGAAAGATTAGAATGTCTTTTTTTTGTTGTTGTTTTGTACAGGACTTTAGGTTTATATGTGCGAATAGCAGCATAAACAAGACCATGAGGATTCAATCGTCGCATCATGCACCTGCAGCGCTTTTGTGACAGGAGAAAAACAGAAGTCTATAAAAGGAATAAAAAAATAGGATCGCACAAAATATATAAGAGGCTATAATATAATTAACAGATTAACAAAAGGAAACACTGTGCAATAAGTATAGGCTACGTTCGTTTTTGTGACACTCAATGCATTTTATTTCTTTTCTTTATATCTTTATTTGATTTAATCCATCTGATTGCACAGGCACCTCACGCACACACAAACAACATTAGTTCTA